CCCCTGCCCCTGATAAATAAAGTGGGAATGGAAAAAAAAGAGGGAAAGCCCAAGTTGTCTATAAAACAAAAGTCAAAGCGAAACGGTCTGGTGGAACAATAAGGCGATCAGACTGTTGTATAACATTAACAGATACTGCACCAGATTAACCCCCAGCCCGAGATTCCCCTCCTTTTCACGATTGTTTATTTCTTCCTGTCAGCATCAGCTGATTTAGAAAGACGTTCATACTTCCGCGTAACAGTAAAACACTCAAGGAGTTCACCGGGACCCTTGCTACGCCACGTCGAATAAAGACACAAGTGTGTAAACCCAAGATTCGAAACTACGAGTCTGAACAAGCTGGGTCAAAAGGTCAAAGTTTGTTTCGATCTTGTCATATCTCGTGAGACACCCGTCCGTTCATTTGCTCTGAAGTAGTAGAAGACGACGTTATGGGAGGGCCGCGGAGTAAACGACATTACGACGTGTCTGAAATATAAAGATCAGCTCATTTGCAAAAGAGCGCTACTAGAGGGGCGTAGGACTAAGGTCCGTTCATCCCCCCCAAAAAAATCTTTTTTTTTGGACCCGTGCCAAAAACCCTCTATTCCTTGAGGGTTTGGTTGGTTAGAGATAAAAAGCTAAGTTATTTATAGTGTGTTCGCGCAACTTGACTAGCCTCATTTTTCAGTATATCGGAGTTTTCTCACTAAGGAGGTGTAGTATTAATTTTGGGGCAGTCGAACAAGACCTTCCTCTGTACTTCTGAACCAAGAGGCGCCACACATCTTCTGCTTCAACCCACTTTTCAAAACGCTTTTTACTCACTGGAATTGAGCACAGTCCCTGAGATGATGACACGGTTTGTAGTTGTTGTTGTTGTCGTTATTGTTGTTGTTGTTGTTGTCGTTATTGTTGTTGTCGTTGTTTTGCTGGGTTTTTTAAGTTTAATTCTCCTGTGGAATTAATTGCAAGCTACTAGAGTAATCGTTAATCAATTCCCGATCATGTGAGCGACACCTTTTGAAGCCAATACTGGACGTTGTTAATCGCATTCCACTTGACCCAGAAAACTTGCTCGTTGTCAGCAAAATAACTGTGAAGCAGTCGACATTTCATCAACTTAGAAAATTATCAGGTCAGAAAAGGCTGTCGCTAATGCTGTGACATTTTCCAAAATTTGACACACATCCTCTCCGTGGCAACTCCAGAAGTAGGACACACTTCTCCCTTTTCTCCGCAGAGATTCTATAACCATTAATCATTAAGTGATTAATAACAAATCTACGAGTATAAGTTCTCTGAAGTAACTGATACGAAGCATAGAAATTATAACTAACAGTACACGTATATTGTTATCGGTGAGCGGTCTACACACTTTAAACTCATTGGGGATACGCATTCTGGCCTTTCCACAACACGTGAAGACGCGCTGTTATGTGCCTCTTTATTTATTTATTTTCATATATACAGAGGCACAATAAGTTCCGTCATTCAAGATAATTTATTGCTGGTATGTGGGGTTGTTGTTGCTGTTTTGTTTGGGG